AGTAATGTCTTGGAGCGGCGGTGAGTTTAAAAAACCTTATTAAGGACACCGGCTCTTAATGTGTGCGGCCGCTGTGAGCTCATCCGGGCTTACAGACTGGCTAAAAAACAGACACTTTGATCATTAATGATGATTTATTTCAACTTTCGTGTCACTTTTACACACACCCTCCGGAGACCATCATTTTGAGAAACTTCTCTCTCATGAGCTCTGCGATTGTTTGCCCAGAGCGCTGTCTTGCAGGCGAACTCTGGGGAAAACGCTGAGCTGCAGGTTGCCGGAGTGAAGAGGGCTGGATTCTGACGGGCGGGGCTGGTGGTGGAACTCAGCGAGAGCCGCGGCCGTGGAAAAGTCGAAGCTTGCTCGCGACGGTCCCTCCAGCGGGACGGGGTGGGCCGCGCGGCTTGATGAGGAGGCGCACAGCCTCTGGCACCTCCTCCGACTGTTTCACTTCGCCAGCATGGTTTGAAGCTGCTCTGAACAACGCGTCCGCGATGGCTTCATCAGGTCTTGTGCAGTTTCTCCGGCAGCGAGGGGAGTAACGAAGCCAGGTGGTCGTTGGATCATCGTCATCCGCGCTGCAGTCCTCGACGGGCAAACTGTGGGAGAGGCACATATGTTGAGCTGGCGTCAGCTGCCTTACAGAGGGAGTTCTTTGTCTCCAAGGCAGGTCTGCGGCCTTCAGTCCCTTGGACATGCTATATGCTAGCAGCGCACGTTGTTTGCTAACTGCGGCTGCCTGAAAATACATAGGTGGGCTCGATTGGAGAGCGTGGTCGCCGTCTGGTTCGTGTTCCTCCGGAGGGACGGGACGCTGCTCCGACCTGGGCAGCTTCGCACCGGAAGCTTCCGTGAGGCTTGGCTCCAGGGGGGGTTACCGAGGAATAGCCCCGCTCGGTGAACCCCTCAACTCTGGTGATGGGAGCGGACTGGGGACCGACTCCTCCAATCTACCAGGAAAGAACCGTCTGCGGCCTCGCCCGTCGAACGTCCTGTTGGAACGCGAGGCCGTATGGATCAAGACGGTGAGCCACAGTGGAGCCCGGTGAAAAAAACAACCTTCCCGCCGATCATCCGAACTGGCGGGAAAAGGCGAGGGACGTAGAAAAAAAGGGGTCCCTTCATGTCAGCCTCCTCCTGGGTTCCGCCGGGCAACCGTGAGGGCGCTGTCGGCCGGGAGCGGTGTGATCGCCGATGCGAAACGAGGTGGGATGGGGTGAGCATTCACTCAGCCCCCCTCCACCTACACTACGCTCCCCAGGAGGGAATGAGCAGCGGGGGCTGCAGCTGAGCACGCCTTGCCCCGGAGGAACCATCCGGTTCGCCCCGAGGGTCGGCGATAAGAGGAAAAAACACAAGATGGCGTTGTCCAGCGTGTATTGACCTGTCACTGGGAAATGTTCCCCGACGCTTACCTTGGAATAAGACTGCTGTCATCTTCTCCTCGGGGAGGAGAACTCACCGGACGACCGGAGGTCGACTGCCGGGCCAAGCATCCTTCACAAAAGTTGGTCATTTACACAATTTATCCTCTTTGTTCTTCTGACAGTGCTATATTAGCTCGCTGAAGAAAAAATGGGAGCCGATTTCCCGCTCTTAACGTAATTTATACGGACCGGGTGGGGCCCACACAGCAGGTGGGCGTGGACTAAATTTTTTCAGTGCTTATGCTCTGCATAACGGGATAAACCCATCAGCGACAGCCTTAAAGGGCAAAGCCTATATGAAATAGAACAGCTGATCACATGATCAAGAAGGACCATCAGCCTAACAATGGATCATTAGCACCTGATGGCTGTTTACTGTTCACAGAGGGCTGAGTGATACTAGCAATCACAGCATTGTAAGAGGGGGACAGTTGAACCTGGAGGCTCCACCCCTGTTTAATGATGGATGATTTCTTTTCACAAAGATGGCCACAAAACCAGCTCTGCTTGTGATAAGATGGTCTGTGATAAGACCATCTTATCACAAGCAGAGCTGGTTTGTTCCACTTCGGAGTAAGCTGTTGGGGGAAGAGTCTCCTGGTCCTCCTACCTGCCAGGGCACGCAAGGTCAGACCCCGATCACCGGCCTCGTGAGCTTCAACGGCTTGGCAGCTCGTGTGATCCTCCGCGGTGACACCGCTTGCTTGAATTTTGCTGTCGGTCACCAAACACAAAAAACACCTGGACTTCAGCATTAAACACGGCGTTGTCATTATTGTTTTTAAAATCTTAAAAATAGAACCAGCCGCTGCCCCTCGTTCTGAGAAATTGCAAATGGCAAATTGGTGAAAAGTTTCCGAGATCCAGTGTCTCCTCCCCCTGACCAATCAGAGTCCTGCATTCACGTTTTGGTCCGGACTCAGCTCGACTCAGCTCCAACGGTCCCACCAGAGAAGCAGGGACGAAAAGAGGTCCTGAATCAGCCTCCAATCAGCTAAAAATACTAGCTAACGTGTTGGTGCAAAAGAGTTCTTTTCGTGGCAGGCTGCTCAGAGTTGGGGCTGATTAGGAGGAGTACAAATGGGGCATTAGATATCAGCGAGACTACAGCTTGGCGCTTGGTCAGTGGCAATGTCTGTGCAGCGACTCCTCAACCACAGAACTCAATAAGGGTGAGAGTAAACTTGAACATTTCTTTATAAACTCAGATGGGAAATCATCTGGTCCAGGGGATTTCCTATTTTGCATACTGTTGATTGCGGAGTTAATCTCGGCCACAAAGATCTCCCTCTCCAGGTCTTCAGCGAGAACATGAGCCATCGAAGGAAATTCAAAATTTCAGTCCTGCAAGTCCAATATGCCAGCTGATGACGGTTTTTTTCATTCCTTTATTTCTACAGGTTAATCCATTGAGCCTCGAGGACTCATTTATGAGAGAGACCTGATTTAACAAAGAATGATGACAACAGCAACAACAATAGACCGTTATAAAAAGTCATACAGATTCCATCCATAATCCATTATCTTTACCCGTTTATTCCATTTTGGGTCACGGGGGTCGCTGGTGCCCATGTCCAGCAATCACTGTGCGAGGGGCGGGGGACACCCTGGACGGGTCGCAAGTCCATCACAGGGACACACAGAGACAAACGAGACAAACAACCATTCATTCTCTCACTCTCACCTAGGGACAATTTAGAGTTACCAATCAGCCTAACATGCATGTTTTTGGTCTGTGGGAGGAAACCGGAGCACCCTGAGAAAACCCACGCATGCACGGAGAGAACATGTTAACTCCACCCAGAAAGGCCCCTGGACCGGGGTTTGAGCCAAGGACCGGCTCGCTGAGAGGCAGCAGCTCTACCAGTTGCGCCACCGTGCTGCCCGTCATACAGATTAGTTGTTGTTGTTGTTGTTGTTGTTGTTGTTGTTGTTGTTGTTGTTGTTGTTGTTGTTGTTGTTGTATTTTTTTTAAACAAATAAGATGGCTTAAAAAAAGTAACAAAAAAACAGCTAGATTCTAAGGTGAATGTAGAAAACTAAAAACAGGAACATGTCAACATTGGTCCCTGCCAGGAGTCCAACAGATTCTTAAAGCCACTTAGAGAGGTCAAAGGTCGAGAGCTTCAAATCTTTTTGTAAGATATTCCAGGAAACAGGAGCGGAGTAGGAGAAGGTCCTTTTGTCTAGTTCAGTCCTCACTGAGGGAACACTGCAGGTAATAATGTCCTGAGAGCGCACGCTGTAGCTGCACTCACACAGAGACATGTAGGAGGAGATGTATGAAGGCAGCAGACCAGGAAGTGATTTAAAGATGAAAATGTACCAGTGAGAGAGTCTGTGTGAAGTTAATGATGTCCAGTTAACCAGTGAATACTGGGAGCAGTGGTGGGTACGGTAGTTACAGCCAGTTATGAATCTTAGTGCACCATGATAGACAGCATCCAACATCTGTAGCATCCAACATCTGCAGCATCCAACATCTGCAGCATCCAACATCTGCAGCATCCAACATCTGCAGGGTTCTTGTAGGAGCGTTCATGTAAATAATGTCACTGTAATCAATGGAGGGAAGGAAGTTCACAAATACAAGGTGTTTCCTAACATTCAGGGTTAGACAGGATCTGTTTCTGAAAAAGAAACCCAGTTTAACTTTCAGTTTCTTTACCAAGTTTTCCACATGGAGCTTAAAAGAGAGATGTGAGTCGACCAAGATACACAAATATTTATAGGAATCAACAAACTCAATGGGGACACCATTTGAGGATAAAATCAGAGGAAGAACTGCTGGGACCAACTTCCTATTTGAAAAAAGCATCCCTTTGGTTTTGTTGGCATTTAGGACAAGTTTGAGGTGAAACAAATCAGTCTGGATGATGTTGAATGCAGAATTCAAAAGCTGGAAAGCCTTAGCAACAGTTTTAGCTCAACAATAAACAACTGTGTCATCAGCATAGAAATGTATGGATGCATTAGGGATGCTCTGACCTACATTACCTATGTAGATTGTAAAGAGGGTGTGTCCTAAGACTGAGCCTTGTGGTACACCATTGTTGAATGTTAAATAACTGGAGGAAGTACCATTATGTTGAACACATTGCCTCCGGTCTGAAAGATAGTTAGAGAACCAACCAATGGTGTGTTCTGAGAAACCAATTTCTGAGAGTTTATGACACAAGATGTTCTGATCCACAGTATTTGTCCACGTGTGGGCTGCGTAGCTTGTTGGTCAGTGGTTGCTTCAGGAAGGTCATTTGGTGTAAAATAATGATAAATCCTCCTGCCTGTTCGCTCTGAGAAATGGAGCAACACGAAAGGAAAAATAAAAATTATGTCTCGGTGTAAAATTTAGATCAGTAGAGAGAAAAATGCATGACAGGCTTTAAAAGACCTCAGCATTTAAAGCAGATTAACTGTATCTGAGGCTGTTGATCATAAAAATAGAGGGGCAGCAAAGACCCGGCAGGACCCGAGAGGCGCATCATCCACAAACACCAGCTGCATCCACGTAAAAACCAAAAGTAGCTCCTAATTTAAATTGTGTGTCTGACTTTTGTTGTTTGTGGCTGCAGCATGAGTCTGAGGGAGATCACAGAGAACATGAAGCTGGCCCGGGAGTATGCTTTGCTGGGGAACTACAGCTCAGCCAGTGTTCTCTATCAGGGCTTACTGGAGCAAATCAAGAAGTTTCTGTACACCGTGCGAGACAGCAGCGTTCAGCAGCAGTGGCAGCAGGTAACCACGTTCCCACGAACCTGCCACAGCTCCGCAGGAAGCTGCTCTACCTCATGTTTCTTTCTCTGCTTATATTTTAGTTGTGGCAAGAAATTAATGAAGAGACTCAGCAGGTTCGGGATATAATGTCAACTTTGGAGAACTTTCAGCTGGACGCAACGCCTGTTAAACCCAGTAACCATGACGACTTGGAGATTAGGCCAGCGCACATAGAACAGAGGTATTTGTTCAGTGGCTCACTTTTTGTTTTTTAAGTTGTTTTGCTGAAATGTTAGAATGCTTGTCATGTTCCCTGAATGCTGTAAGTCTGTTTGCTCCGATGGTTCAGTCATTTATGGTTAGAACGTAAGCCCTCATTACATTCCACACTGTAAGGTATTTTTTGCAGAAGCGTTGTGAAATTCCTATTAAACTTGATCTGTGAATACCCTAGAAGTCCTTCATACTTGCTGCTGCTGCTGGGGTTTAATCTTGTTAATAGCTACAGAATGTTATGTAATTTATCATGTAATGATATTAGGAGTGGGCGATATGGCTCAAATATAATATCGTGATATTTCAGAGCATTGTGACGATTACGATAAATTCAGTGATATAACAAAAAAACCCAGAAATCGCAGTTATTAATTTGACAAAATTAACTTAACATGTTGCTTTGCAGTATTATATAAAAACAAAAAAACTTTATTTAGTAAAGTATTCAGTCTGAAAGTATAAAAAAAAAAAGATCCTTCTGTTATTTAGATTGAAAAAGTCTGCACAAAATATAGATCAGTAAATCCACCACAAAAACTAAAGTGCAGGTGAAGTTTCCCAAAATAACTACTAAATAAAATGAAGCTTAAAATCTGTTGATCATAAATGTAACATACTTAAGGCTGGGTACCTTTCTAAAAAAAATCTGTATTGGTATCGGTGTCGGTTCCTGGACGGTTCTTTATTCGGTAACAATTTTGTAATTACTATTAATTCTAACAAGAATAAAATTACGTTACACATTACAGTACAAATTGTGAGTTTTATTTTTTAACTTTGGTATTTTTCTATTCCAAGCAGTTTTCTTACATAAAAACAAACAAATAATTTCCAGGTCAAAAGACCAGTTACAAACCAGTTCAACACGTCAGTGTCTAATGTTCACTGCTTCACACTGAGGACCTTTTCACTGAACAGTTTTTCTTCAGAAACATCAACATGTCTGTTTTCTCTGGACACAAACCAGCTGCTCCTGGCTGATGGTGTCTCCAGCAGTAGAACATGTTCACTCTGAGGCTGTAGATGATGCTTGTTGCACACACAGATACCTGGTTGTCAGTTTGACATATTGTCCCTCACAGTCCACCAGCAGGTCACTGGATTCACTGAAGTTAGAGATGTTGCAGACTTCTGCACCTCTGTGTCTCTGCCTGAATCTTCTCTGTGGTTCTCTGGGGTTTAGGGCTCTGATCATCTCCCTAATTGACATGAGAACAAAACATCAACAATAACATGGTTGTGTTATTATTGATCAAAAAACATTATCTAGGCTGAGAGATAAAAGTTTAACTGGTCAACAAAATCCTTTAAAGTTTAACTTACCTCCACCATGCAGCTCCACTGTAGAAAAAGGCAGTGGCCCCCACCTCACTTTTCTTTTGTCCTCCTCACATCTGGGTCAGAACCTCCTGTGAGGAGAACAGTAACACAAACCGTGAACATTAGTGAACTGTTTAAGCAGCTGACTGGATGGATGAGCAGTTTTACAAGCTAAGCTTCATCTGTTACTGTCAATCTTTAGTTAGCTTCTGAGTTTAGCTAGATACGTAGATAAAATAAATTTACACACTAATATCTTAAAGTTAGCGTTACATGGACTCTAGTTTAATTCACCACGATGCACGTATTAAGCTGCAGTAACCCTAACAAACGTAAACTTACCAGCTGAAACACAGACACAGCTCCGTCCTCGGAGTTTTTTTATGAAGAGTCCGGTCGTGGAGATGATGAATCAGGACGTTCATGCTCTCTCACACTCACAGGCTTTAATGCTTGGGGCGGGGTGGGGGGGGCTGCGGTCCCCCTTGAGGACAAACACGGAGCAACTTTCTGCTCGTAAACTGAAGCCGTTCGACGTCACACGCGCTGCACACGTGAACCCCGTCTGTGGGCGGAACCAGCACCATAGACGTACAGCTGTATGGCAGCTCTATGCAGCTCTGGGTGTAGTCTGTTTGTCATATGTCTGTGTTTTACCTGCCTGCATGCAGAAACCACGTGACACGTTACAGCCAATACCGAAACTTGATACCAAAAAAAGTGACGTTTTAATACATACACCGACCGGTGCAGTTCGGTCGGTGCCTTTTAAGAACCTCTGTTCAGTATACAGCCTTACACATACAACAAAATATATTTTGTCTTTAAATGAACGACAACTTCCAGAACTTGTAACAAGGTGATCAGCTGACCCTCAAACTTGTTGGTGTTGTAGTATGAACATATGCTGATATATATTCATAAATTAAACGGATTCTTTCATTTTTCTGGACTGTATAATGACGTGCATCTGGATTTAATAAAATGTGGACGTGAGACGTTAATTATCTTTGACTCACCAACGACAGTGGGTCATTTATTAACAGAATCAAGTTTAACACATCACACATTTACATTAATTGGCAAGAATTGAAAATAACGACAGCTTATTAATCAGTTTTACAGGAAGTAAACAATACGGCGATTGTTTTCTCACTTCCAGCAGTACGACATTGACCACACGGCGGTGGTTGAAAAACTTTGCTTCAGACATTTCTAAAAATATCTGGATTAATTTCTTAGCAGATAGAAGAGTTTAAAGATTGAAGTTTAGAGGGAGGGAGATGGTGTGTGTGTGAGTGAAAAGTGTTGGACAGAACGACACCCTCCATTCGACCCAGCTTTCCTCGGTACGCTCGGTAGTCAACTCGACTCATTACCTCTCTGACGATGAATCAGTGAAAGCGGAGCTCCGGTTACGCTACCGGTCCAGCGTCTCCGTAGGATGGCAGAAACCGTCCGGAGTGGTGGCGGTACTTCATCAACAACAGTTCAGCTCACGGTGGACTCACATGAGTGGAGTCCTTCAGAAGTTCCACTCAGAGGTGGAAGATGTCATAATCCCAAAAGACTCGGAAGAGCTTTGAATCATGGCTGGACTTCTGTTCTCCCAAACGACTGGAGCTGCAAACTCTCCACCCGACTCCAACTGGAGGTGGAACCTCTTGCAGAACTCTCCATCTACTCCAACTACTACTAAAAACCTGGGTTGAACTAGAAAGTACCAACATTTAAAGAGCTCTATTTCCGGTTCATTTGGGAGTTTCTGATTGGTCGATGGACCAAAACAGAGGTGTGTTTTGTGATGTAAGGTGTTATGAAAAGTCAAGGAAAAAGATTAAGATTGTTTAAGAACAGACAGAAGATATTATGAAGAACTTCAGACTTCGTGGAGTCAATTCTCTAGTATCTTGCTGTAAAAGTTAAACATGACATTTCTTTTTCAGTAAACTTGCAGTTGACCGAAACTTGAACTTTGACCAACTTACACACTTGCTCACTTCAAACAGACGATCAAGAAATTGAATCATTACTCTGTAACATATTCCAACTTGATTTCACTTTGAATGAGGATTAAGAATCATTATTACTGTTTCACAGTTAATAAAAATGAGTAGTTCACTTCAACATTTAAACATTGTTTGAACTAACACAATTTGATTATCAAAACATTTGTAAAATAGTAATGATAATCGAAAATAGTCTTCTTTCACTTGATTAATTCAAGAAAGAAAGTCTCAGGATGGGTCAACCTGTATTTCTGGATTCAAATCAATGAAATGACAGTTTATTGTCCCACATGGTCCTTAAGGTCAGGACTTGACATCAGGCCTAGTTCACTACAGTCCCCCCTTTGGAAATCATCGCCTGTCCATGGGGATGAATTCCAACATGAACTTACGGCTTCGAATGTCTTTGAGCTTGATGTAATCCAGCAAGGAAAACAAAAGTCAAAAGTAATCCAGCAAGGAAAACAAAAGTCAAAGGTAATTCCACAATGTTCTTGGTAATTCCATTGTGTTGATGATAATTCCATAATGTTGTTGGTAATTCCATTGTAGCAATGCTTTAACCCCTTGGAAACAGTGTCTGTAATCCATTGGAAAAAGTCATATAATCCACAACAGTAAATCCACAACGATTGGAAGTGTTGATTGATCAGCATACAGAGGGGTTCCCTTGGATTGAACTGAAGATGCGGCCACTGGATGAAGAGTGGAGAGACCAACGTCAGGATTGCAGATCTCCTCCAGCGAAGGTCATCGCTGGGTGGATGTCCAGTCTGTGCCATTCTGGTTCAATGTGACATGCAATTATGTGGTTTAAGGTGGGCTTATGAAGGGGATGTTACATAAGGCCTTAAACTATATGCACCTGGTGTGTAAGCTATTATGATTGGAAACGGCTACAACTACCAGTTAAGGGGTGGAACATGCTGAAAAGGGTAACTATAGGGATTTATACCTATGGAAGAGTGTTCCAAACTATTTTTCCATTTCTAACTTGGTTTAAGTTAGCTTTACATGGCAAAATATAGTTTGGTTCAATTGTCTGTTGTCTATTAGACGAACGACTTGAGATTGGGTGTTTGGTTTCCCCATAAATGTTTTGGAAGTCTATGGCGAGACTCATCAAAAAGAATTAGCTATCCCCCTGAATAGAATTGTTCGAGTAGGTTCGGCTTAGGCGTTGTGAGTCCAATGTAGATTATGGTACTTAAGGTAGCATTAATCTATATTGACTCCGCAAAGATTGCATTTTAACAAATGAACTGCATGTTGGCATGGTTAAAGGCCTCTTAGTCTCTAACTTAACTACACACAAAATCCATTCTTGTGTAGATGAACATATGCTGAGATATATTCATAATTAAACGGATTCTTTCATTTTTCTGGACTGAATAATGTCGTGCATTGAATTTAATAAAATGTATCGTGAGACGTTATTTATCTTTGACCCATCAAAATGAATGTGGTCATTTATTTACAGAATCAAAGTTTAACATCACACATTTACATTAATTTGGCAAAATATGGAAATAACAACATAATTAATCAGCAAGCTGTACAATTAGAAAACCATACGGCGATGGTTGAAACTTTACACAGACATTTCTAAAATATCTGGAGTGATTTCTACTTGATA